AGGAACAGCGCCTCGTGCGGCTCGTGGAGGTAGGTGCAGATCTTGCAATCCCACCGTGCCGGCGGCGCCGGCGGCGGCGGCGGCGCGGGCGCGGGCGGCGGCGCGGGCGGCGGCGCGGGCGCGGCGCGGGGCCGCTTCGCGGGGCGCGCGTCGCCGCCGCGATCGCCGGCGACGTCCGCGAAGAGCGCGTCGACGAGCGCCGCGTCCTTCGCGTCGTCGAGCGTCGCGCGCAGGACCTCGTCGAAGCCCTCGGACGGCGCGATCGGCCGCCACTTCTTCTCGAGGGCGCCGACGACTCGTGAGATCTGCTGCGCGCCGCCGGCGGTGCGGCCGTCGAGCCCGCCGTCGTGGTCCCGCCGCGCCAGGCACCGCTCGACGCAGAGGGCCTTGCTCGACGAAAAGAGGAGCGCGACGCAACGGGCGCCTTTCGCGCGCGCGATGCGGAGCCAGTGGCCGCGCTGCGTCGGCTCGACGTCCGTGCGGTCGACGTAGGCGACGACGCCGCCGTCGAGCGCGGCCTCGACCGCGGCCGCGACCTTCTCCCGCCGCCCGAGCAGGTCCTGGCAGCACCGCGCCGCGCCGCGCGCCTCGAGGTGACGTTCGAAGAACGTCGACTTGCCCGCGCCCGGCAACCCGACGGCGACGACGACGAGCCCGCGCGGCCGCGGCGGCTTCGGCGGCGAGCTCTTGAAGTAGCGCGTGATCTTCTCCGCCTCCCTCACGGGCGCCGCGCCGTCGTCGAGCAGCAGCGACACGCCGAAGCCCCGGTAGTCGCCCGGCGCGACGCCCGCCGCGGCGACGGCGCGGCGCACGGCGGTCTCCGGCTTTTCGCCGCGCTCGAGCGCCGCCGCGCGGTGGACGCGGTCGCAGCGGCCGTGGCCGACGCCGCCCTTGCAGGACGCGTCGAAGGTCTCGCCGGGCCGCTTCGTGACCCAGATCTTGACGCCGACCTTGGCCACGCGCGCCGCGACGCCGAGCTTGGCCGCGCGCGCCTCGGCCGTCGCGCACATTTCCGCGGCGAGCTCGTCCAAGTGCGCCGCGTCGCGGCAGCGGAAGCCCCAGGAGCACTGCGCGCCGACGCTCTTCCGCGGCGGCCGCGGCTCCCAGGGCGCGTCGTCGTTGCCGTTCGCGCGCGCGCGCGTCGCCGCCGCGAGCTTGCCCCGGCCGAGCGCCTTCTCCAGAGTCGCCAGATCCGCGTCCGCGACGTCCGCGACCGTCGCCAACCCCACCGCCTCGAGCGCGGCGCCGTTTTTCGGGCCGATGCCCGGGAGCTTCCTAACCGGGAGCGTCCGAAACGTCGCCAGGGCGTCGTCGTCGCTCAGGTGCAAATGGGAGTCCGGGCCGTCGGTGGCCTTGGAGAGGTCCGTCGCGATTTTGGCGAACATCATCGACGACGCGGAGCCCACGGAGCAGGTGCAGCCGCCCGTCGCGTCGGCCACGGCCCGGCGGATCGCGGCGGCGACGATGGCCGCGCCCGCGTCGTCGTCGTCGGACGCCGCGGCGACGGCGGCCGTGACGTCGGCGTAGCACTCGTCGATGGACTTGGCGACGACGTGCTTCGTGACCTTCAGCACGCAGGAGTGCGCGGCGACGGCGGCCTCCGCGAAGGCCTCGAAGTCGTAGGGCACGGTCACGAGCTCCGGGCAGAGGCGCGTCGCCTCGCCCAGCCACATGTTCGCGCGGACGCCTCGCGCGCGCGCCTCGTAGGACGCGCTGCTGATCTCGCTCTGCGAGCTGTCGCCGCCGCCGCTCCAGCAGACCGCGACGGGGCGCTTCTTGAGCTCCGGGCGGTCCCGCACGGCGACGGACGCGAAGAAGCAGTCGAGGTCGACGTGGAAGATCGTCCGCCGCCGCCCCGGCCGCGGCGGCTCCGGCGGCGCCACTTCGGCGCCGTCGTCGGCCTCGTCGAGCACGTCGCTCCAGACCTCGTCCCAGCGCCCGATGAAGGCCAGCCGGCTCGCGCGGTGGAACGTCTCGATGAACGTGTCGTCGTCGAGCGTCGTCCGCGGCGCGCCGCCGGACCGCGGCGGGCCGCCGAGCAGCGGCTCCGCCGCGCGCAGGGCCGCGGCGGTGCGCCGCGCGTCGGACGTCGTCGCGACCGGCGCGGTCGGCGCGCCCGGGGCCTCCATGAGCGCGGCCGACGGCCGGGTCAGGCGGAGGCTTCGCGTCCAGCACCTGGGTCCTGCAGCATCTCGGCGGCACGGTTCACCTTGCAAGCATTTACCGGCCTGCGCCGATTTTGGCTGGCTGCGGGCTGCCCAAACACATCAGCCGCAGCCTTCCTCGTCGCCTAACGCAGCGATGGACTTCATCAGCGACGTGGAGAAGAAGATGGGCGACATGCTCGGCGGCAGCGCCATGCTCTGCCAGAAGGGCGACGAGACGCCCCACGAGGTCCTCTATTTCCCGATAACGGCCCTGGGCGAGCCCATCCGCCTCGCCCTCGCCGTCGGCGGCTTCCCCTTCACGGACACGAACCCGCGCAACTGCGAGACCTTCCAGGAGCGCAAGAAGGAGCTGTCGCCGCTGGGCGAGGCGGGGCAGGTGCCCATCCTCGTGCTCCCAAACGGCAAGACGATGTGCCAGTGCCGCGCGATCCTGCGGTACCTGGGCAAGGTCTGCAAGTTCGAGGGCGCGCCCCTCTACCCGACGGACCCCATCGCCGCCTACGAGGCCGACGCGCTCATCGAGCTCTGCGAGGACATGCGCTCGCCGCTCGGGGCCACGTTCGCGATCTCGGACCAGGCGGAGAAGGAGGCCGCGCACGCGGCTGTGTGGAATTCAAATCTTCAATGTGCGCATATGCGACAGTTTCGACGCAAGCTCTTCGGCTGTGCTTCGAGAACTCCACGAGAGCGATCGATTCGTCCAAAAATCAGCCGAATCGACTTCGATTTGATCGAGCTAGAGAATTCTGAAGTTTGGTCAGGACCACCCAAACCAGTGGTTGAATTCCACACAGGCGCGCGGCGCTCTGGGCCGAGGGCGGCAAGCAGAAGAAGTGGGCCGCGGCGCTCGACGCCACGCTCGCGAAGGATCCGATGACGACTTTGACCATCGGCAACATCTACGCGTTCTGCATCGTGAACATGTTCCGGACGCCGACGTTTCTCGACGGCGTGCCGCCGGGCGTCTTCGACGAGCACCCGGCCATCCAGAAGCACCACGACTGGGTCGCGAACCTCGCGCCCGTGCTCGAGTACTACAAGGAGAAGGACGGCATCCGCGTCGCCTTCCAGCCCCTCCCGAAGCCCGAGCCCGAGCCCGAGGCGCCGTTCGCGCTCGAGGCGAGCCAGATCGTCCGCCAGGAAGGCAAGATCAAGCAGCTCGAGGAGGTGGGGGCGCCCGACGGGGCCATCGACGCCGCCAAGGACATCCTCAAGGCCATGAAGGACAAGTACCAGGAGGTCCACGGCAAAGAGTACGTCGCCGAGCCCGAGGCCGAGGCGCCCGCGCCGGCGGCCTAGGTACCGGACCGACGCGCGAAGGCGCTCGAGTTTAATGAGGGCAGGTGAACGACAGCAGCACGGTCCTCGGCGTTGGAGAGCGCACTTTTTCGGTGTTCTTGATGCACTTCAACAAGCCCGTTGCCTCATCAAGGTCCTCGGGTTACGTTTGGAGTACGGCAGCTTTTTCGGTCTTCCTTGAAGCACTTCAACAAGCCTCGTTGACGTCTTCCTGCCACTGGCAGAGCATGACCGTGAGCACTCTTTGCAATCCGCGCTCGCAGATGAGCACTGCGGTCTGGCGCTCGCAGATGATCGCTGCGCTCCGCATCTGGCTCGTCGCCACCGTCGCCGCAGCGACGCCCCAGCCGAAGGGCACGGTGACCTGGCCGCGCGGCCCGAAGCTGCGCTGCGCCTGGGACGCGGCGACGCACGCGCTGCGGGTGTCCTGGCCGCGGGCCGTGGCGCCGGACCCCGCGGCCCTCGCCGCGGACGTCTACGAGATCAACATCGCCGCGGCGTCGCTGGGCCGCGCGCTCGCCGTGCACACCACGGGCGAGCTCGGCGCGGAGCTCGGGCTCGACGTCCTGCTCCCGGAGACGACGTACTACCTCAGCCTGCGCGCGCACGCGGGCTGGGCGTTCGGGTCCGGCCGTCTGATGGGCGCCGACACCTGGGGCATGCTCGGCCCCGAGACGGCCTGCGACACGGGCGCCGCGCCGGACGTCGCGCCCCGCGGCGCCGCGCCGGACGTCGCGCCCCGCGCCTCGACGAGCGACGGACGGTCGACGTTCAACATCGAGTCGTGGCGCATCAGCGAATACTCGGGCGCGACGGACTACCTGCTGAACCACGACGGCGCGGACCTCGCCGGCTCGTCGCTCCTCGTGACCGTCTTCGCGCAGATCGAGTTCTACGAGGGCGAGCTCGCGCTGCGGAGCACGTGGACCGGCGGCTCGACGGCGGACATGGTCGTGAGCGTCTACTGCGTCGACGCGCTGCCGCCGCCGACGCGGGCCAACGACACGACCGGCGATCCGCGCTTCGCGGACTACGCCTCCTGCAACAACCAGGCGGACCCGTCGACGTCGCGGTGCGCCTGCGCCGTGCCCATGGATCGGCTCG